GTTTTTCCGAGGAAAATGTTCTTTGTTTGCTCCGGGGAAAACGCTTTGTAGACTTTTCCTTCGTTAATTGCTTTGTAAAGGCCCAGTTCTTGGGCAAATTGATATTGATGTACACAAATTCATTTTCATTTCCGTTCTACTTTGGAGAATATACAAACAATCAGCAGTTCATAGTGTTGCGAACGCACAAAAGTAGTGCTGAGTAGTATGGTAAAAGTAGCGTGAAGTTGAAAATGTTTGCTCAAATATTAACTGGTGAATATCCTTGATTTGAGCAGTGTTGAGTAAAAGCATGAAAGTTGAGTACTAAAAAGTGTTGAGGACTGTTGAAAGAGCCGCAAAGCCGCAATTTTTGCATAAAAGCTGCCTGACAAAAAGCTGGCAGCTACGCGCTGCACTTGTGACAGCTGTCAACCATTTAAAATAACACGATTTTCTGCGATGTGGCAACACCCAAACTGGAAATCAAAATAGAAATTTCGCAAACAGGCGATTTTTCAATTATACAAACTTGACAACCTAAAGATCATGATGTCAGCTATGTTTATACACATATTTATCGCATTTAAATCCTCAAATTAAGATTTCCCAACTGCAGATTGTGTTGTATATAAGCAAATATAAATACATATATATCTATATGTATATCTATTATACTATTACACAGTTTGCGCATTTCTTCTCCAAGCAATTTGTATTAATTCCACTTGAGTATTTCGTTGTAGACGCCCACAGTAAATGCCGCGACTGTTCAAATGGGCGGCTGTTAAATTGTCCCCGCTCTCTCTCACTCTCTCACTCTCTCCCCCCCTCTCTCTCTCTCTATCTCTGTCATTTGCACTAAACACTTGGCAGTTAAATTGCAATTAAAACACTAAAGCGCAGCAAATAAACTGACTACTGGACGGGGGGCAATAAACCTAGACTCAACGGCCACTCTCCCCCTTCTTAAAGACCAGACCCCTCCCCCCCTCCCCCCTCCCCCTTTCACCATCTATCGCTGGAAACTAAACAGAAATCTGACGTTGAGTTTTCAAGTGAGTTTCGGTTTTCGAAACGCAGCTAATTGAAATGCCAAGTTGCCATTTTGTTGGTTTTCAAAATTTCATTTAAAGCTTTTGGTGTGCTTTATTTTTCCAGCCTCTTGTTTTGTTTGCTGCCTTTTAATTACAGGCAATGACTAGTTTTTTTTTCGTTGTTGTTGTTGTTGTTGTTGCACTTTTGTGGGTCGCCATGGGCCAAGACAGGTTGCATTTTCCAAATGTGGCCAATGCAACAAACGCGTATGCGAATGCGAAAAGCGAATGTGGCATATGTGAATGCGTATGTGAATACCATGATGAAGTTCAGTCACTCAAGCGGCTGCCTCTAATGCCAAATAAGTTATTTTGGAATTTCAATTATTTTTGTGCAACTGTGTGCGAGTGTGTGTGTGTGTGTGTGTGTGTGTTGGTCAGTCACTGCTTGACAGCGCCTGCCACACAGCTAAGCATCAGCCCACGGTGCCGCACAGTGTGATGCAGTGTGTGACAGCAGGCGTTGACACATGTTGATTTCTAGCTGAAAACTAAAAACTGAACCCTGCCAATAAAATAACCCAAAAAACCCTCATTATGAGCTCGGCTGACCGAACGCATAGAACTGAATGTGAATGGAATAGCATCGGGATCTATACTTTTAACTGATATAGTGTGTGTGCTTGGGAATTTACTGAATAAGTTTTATGGAACTATTAATTAGAGTTTTAGCTTCTAGACTAGTATATACAGATCAAATATCTATCATTTGATAGCTACCCTCCCCAAAATGAGATTTAATTGAATAGCTTGATTCGTTTTGGCGCATTGAATCTGGCCAGTTTAGTAAGTTAATCAATTGTAATTTAGGTTTCGTCTCACAAGGTTTTATGAAACTGAAAATGTAAAGGAATACAAAATATAGAGGTCTACCATAAATCAAATTAAATGAATTTAAATGAGATCTAAGGCTGAAAGTTGAAAAATTATAAGAAATTACTTACGACATTCTTATGTTCTTTAAGGCTTTGCTTCGCGCTTTACATACATATATTCATTTAAAACCTATATTGCCTTAATTCCATCAAAATACCAATACTGCAAAATAAACATCTCAATTAACTTGCAATTTTTGTTAGAAAGAGTAACATATACTGTCATAGATTTTTAGAGATATTTTGCATAGCTTTCAAAATTCTAAATCGATGCCTTTTCTATTAATCCTTTTGCCATTTCCCAAATGTTTCGCACTGAAAACCCACTTGGACTAATTTGTAGCTAAACGCAAGATCTTGGGAAAGTCCACCCACACAACACAGGCAGACATTTTCTCACACCACCAAAAAAAAGAAACAAATTGTGAATGAAACAGGCGCTGTTTGGGTTTTTCCCTCGAGTCATAAAAGAGCCCAGTGTAAGAAAGAAACTTGTTGCCACATTTTCAGGTGAATAACTACTGAGGTGGTCGGTTAGCTGGCCATAAAATGCACAAATGCCATTCGCGCAGCAGGATCCTGTCAGCGACTCGATCCGTGAGAACGGACAGGCCGAGCAGAGTCTCAGAAAAATATATATATATATATACTGTAACTGTGGCCTTCGGCAATCAAATGTCGTGTAACTAATGCCATTTAATTGCCTAATTGACCATCCAGATTTTTGAAATACCAAAGCGAGCCCGTCGTGTGCCACAGCCAAGCAAAACAATGTGCACAAAGCGTCGCCTGTCATTGAAATTGCGACCGAAGTGCGACTTGCAACGTGCAACTTGCCAATTGCGACTTTCACATCAGGTGTGCCATTTGTAGAAGGTTAATTGCCAAGGGAGACATCTGGAAAACTAACTATGACTCGCAGGAAATTCTATAAAAATATGATCTATCTCCTGACTATTTAATAATATCATTAAATGCCGTATCTCTCTGTTTCTTTAGCCGTATACATATATATATATATATATATATATATGTCTTTTTAGTTAGTCAGTTATCATCGCATCTAAGTCCACACCCAACACTGCCTGTCAACAGTTTTCCCCCCGCTTCGCTTGTTTAGTTTTCATTTGGCTTGTTTATCGGCTTAAGTCGTTGTCCAGTTCCATTTAATTGGCCAACTGTCGTCGCCTCATCGACAGCCACTTTGAGTTATTGGTTTAATGCTCTTTTTTACACTCTGCTTTTTTTCCTCTGCACTCACCAGGAACAGGTAATTTATAGACAGGTCTGATCAAGCGTTGCATGCGGCTATAAAACTTAAGGAGTATACATTTATCTTAAAAGAAGTAACTCAACTGAAGCTAATCGAAAGAAGCTTCGTGATCAAATATATCTAACCTTAGGGTCTAGTCCATTTATTTGAGCTGCCAATGAAGGCATTTTATAAGGGGTATTCCTTTAATTAATGCTTAAAAAAGTAATATGCTACGAATTGTTTTTTATTGTTCATTTCATAAGGGGTATTCCTACAATTGGTGCTTCCAAGATCAAGATTCAATATTATTATACCAACTGTTTTTTTTTTTTGTTGCTTATTGCATTCACACTAGAAAACAAAATTAGTCATAATATATATTTGAAGTGCATATAATAACTATTCAAATTGAAGGAAATTCTGTAACAATAAAACCAATTTTCTACATATATTTTCGATAAGGTAATACCCCTATTGTTTTCCATGTTGTTTACTTTTATTATGCAACTAAAATAATAAAATAGACAATTTGTTCAGCTGCAAAATTATCTTTGTACAAATTTTTTTTACATTTTTAACAAATTAACAATTAATAAAAATTGTTTGTGGTAATATCCCGAATAATTTATAAGCAATAGTAAAGTTAATAAAAATTGTTGTTAGCTACAAAAATTGCAACTAAAATATTTAAGCAATTATTGTTATATTTTTACCTCCAACATTCACAAGCACAAAACTCAATTTTCAAATTAAGAAATTATTTTCATAAATCAATTGATAAAATTTGAACAATTTACGTTGAGTTGAGGAAATTGATTTACGAGGAAGCGAAAAACAACTGAATTCGACTACGTGTAGAGTATGCCGAACATTTATGTGCAGACACGGTGTGGTGTGTGTGGTACAGGTTGTACTGGTTAGCGTTGACAATTTTGTATGCCACTTAGCCATAAATTGATGCGGTAACATGGCCAAAGTCAATGAGTATGGCGCGTGCTTGTAAGAAAATTGTGAAAATTACGGCTAGGCAGGAGAGGGAGAGGAAGAGGAAGAGGGAGAGAGTGGCAGAGCTGGGCGGGGGCGTGGTCAATGGGCAGAGTAATGACTGTAGCGAAGACAGACAGAGGATCGCTGTTAAGATAAATCGTTCATTGAGTTGGGTCAACTTTGATGTTCGACTCTTTTTTCTCCTTCTTTCTCAATCCTACTTTGAAGTCCAACTCTTTTTCTGCCTTCCTCTCAATCTAACTGAAGTCTAGTGGAGATCTCTCTTTCGCTCCCCTCAACTTCCACAGTCTTGTGTTATTGATGAGGCTTTTGGCTGTTGTCTCTAGGCCTCTGACCTCAGGTGTCTATCAGCTTTTGTGGGCGTGGCCGTCGCACTTACACCTCTATAATCTGCGTAATTGATGAAGACATGTTTGCTTTCGCTTTTTTTTCTCTCTTAATTTTCATGGCTGTTATTGTCATTGAGATTTATGTCCGCCTGTCTTTTTGATCCCAGGCAATTTCTTGTGGTTTCTGCGAGCCACAGCAATTACTCATCTGCAAATGACTGAACTGAACCTAACTGAACCGAACTGAACTGAACTGAACCGAGCTGAACTGAGTCATCATTAGCTCATCATTATTATGATTATCATCAGACATTTGTTTTTGTTTTCCTTTTTTGTTTTGTTGTCATTTGATGAGCCAACCAAAACTTTCACTGACTCTTGCCTAATCCAATTGTATATTTAAATATTTTAATCCCACATTCAACTAACCCTTCAAATTTTCACTCTACAATTGCAGAATCGTTGCGTTCCGGCGTGGACCAGACGGAACTGCAGGAGCTCAATGGATTTGGGCTTCTGTTGCCAGCTGTGCCCAGTCCCGGCCAGACGCCACGGGACTCCAAACGCGCCTCGCTTAGCAATGAGCTGGTCTGCTGCTGTGGCGCTGACGCGGACACCTGCAACTGCGCTGCCGAGAAGGCGGCCAAGGTGAAGCGTTGTGGCAGCCACGCCCCCGAGGCATTAAATTCCATAGAGCCAAATGGCTGCCAGCTGGAGCAGCAACTGCCGCAGGAAGTGGAGCCGCAAACAGTTGAACAGCTCAAGGATGAGGCAATTTTACAGAACATAACAAATACAATTTCCAGTACAAATGAGGTGCGTATTTCATTTATATAATATATATATGTATGTATATATATTTTTTAATTTATTAAAAAATATAATATATGTATATTGATTAGTCGCCTTCAGGCTTAGATAAATACAGAATTTAGTTTCTTAAATGCAACATTTATCAGAGTTATGAATTTTGTTTTTATTTAATAAACTTATAGCTTGATCCTATAACAAATAAAAATAAAAGGACATCTAATCGAACAAAATTTTAATACTTGGCTCGAAGCCAATCGGTTGAGGACAAAAATCATAAATAAATAAATATTCACACCTTTTCCATCCATATTTCACCCGAATAGGTGGAATATAAGAAATTACTGGGAATGCGAATTGTTCGATTTTATGGCTTTAGTATTTAACGATTTTTAAGCATTAGTGCAACATAGTTCCATCCGTTTTTCTACTCATGTGGGTGGGAAACAAATAAGATAACTGGGAATACAAACTGATACATCAGTCAGTAAATCAACATAAAGAGTTTTACATGTAGATATTCTTTAAGCATTCGTTCAACATATTACCTTCCATTTGTGGGTGGGGGAAAAAAAAAACTGGAATCGTTCCTGTTCGATTTTTAGACTAGAGCTGTATGCTATACATCAGTTAAACTATCAGCACAAAGAGTTTTATATGTAGGCATTGTTGAAGCATTCGTGCTAAATATTTCCATCCATGTTTCCACCCATGAGGGTGGATTAGACTTGAAGATTTGACAAAGAGTTTTAAATGGCCAAGCTGAAACTTTTCCTTTCTGTTTAATATCTCCACCAGGATCGAAATGATTCTCAGAGCACAACAACAATTCAGCCCGATACGGCTGAGGACATTGTCGCCCAAAATCCCGCCCTGAAGTGCTACGTGGATAACGGTTATTTGAACTACGAGCGTTTGGCCAAATGCCTCGAGGCGAACGACAAATGGCAGGAGGAGAAGGAACGCCAGACTCTGGGACTGGCCATTGTCGTTCAATTCATGTCCAAGCAGGTGAGTTTGAGCACTTTTAGAAAAGTTGAGAGAGAGAGAGAGAGAGGGAGGGAAGTAGAGCATGAGAGGGGCAGAGAGAGGGATTTAGCCAAACTGGCGCCAGGGATTGCCCGACGAAGCGACGAGATTTCCGAGTCTCGGATTCTGTCAGGCATTGAAAAACTTTTGTTCCGTTTTATGCGCTGCTGATTCCCTTTGTCCAGCATGGGCAAAGGTCTCACCTGCTCTAATAAAGGACCAAATTCTCGGGCCTGCAGCACGAAATTTGCCTTAAGCTGCGCTTAAATTTGAGCTAATTTTGTTTAATTGTTGCAGCGCTCGTTAAGACCCCGACTCAATCCGCCGTATACCCATTCGAAACCGGATCCGGCTCTGTCGCTGAGCCGGAGCCACTTTTTTTGTGTTTGCACTAATTAAAAGTTGCAAACGTACAAGTTTGCGGCCTGCCTGAAATACTTTTATCTGTGCATATCTCAATACCCTCACTTTGTGTCCTTCCAACTCGTGCGTACCCTTTGTTTTTGTTCATTTCGCGAAAGGGTGTGAGCTCTCTGCTTCTCGCTATTCAATTAATTGTTATCATTTTCAATGCTTTGGCTTATTTTTCTGTGAATTATCTCGTGACACGTGTGAGTTTTAACACAGTTTGTTCTGGCCAGATTTAACAGCTCCCTGTGCTCTATAAAACCTGAGAACTGCTGAAAATGCAGTTCATATCAATTGTCTTTTAATTCGCATAGGATAAACTACCTGCTGGAATTACCTACAAATTGTACCCTTTGCATTCTTAAGTAGAACATGCTTTTGTTGGTAAAATGAAAAACTTATATACATCAAAATATTAACATAAAAAAGTGTGAACACATATTCTTCAAAGGCATACGTACTTATATAGTCTCTTGTCTTAAAGTTTAAAAAAAAATCGCTTGAAATTTATCAAATTTTCAATAGAATATCGTTCTTTAAGATATAAGCCCCAAAATGAACGTACTTGTACAAGTTGAATAATTTTAGTGTTTTATAGTGAACAAACTATAAAGATTTCGGTAAACTTTGTTTTAGCTGGTTTTTCCATCCATTCTTTGCTTTTAATTCTCAATGTGTTATAGCTTCGCAATGGGTAAAAGGACTTGCAAGCCTTCTAGGCTTCGTTAGCAAAAATTCACCTCGCTGCAAAGGGCAAATGTCTACAAGGGTATCAAATCGTCTGCTTGCCGAAGAAAGTTTTACTTTCTCGTTTTTAATTGAATTTATTTCTTCAGCTTTTCCTTTTTTTTTTTATTTTTCTTGGCACTTTGTTCTTTTAGAATTATTATTATTATTATTATTGATACATTCTCATATTCTCAGTAGCTTACCTATCTGAATGAAGGTCACAGATCGAGTTATTTGCCACCTTGCTTGATTTTACTCCCAACCCAAGTATTTTTTCTTTCATTTATCTCTCCCGCTGTCGGGAGTAGCTGTTGTTATGCTCTCAACTACCTGTTAAAATCGTCGACTGTCTTGTTTTTGCTCAACTATTAAATATCAATAACAAGATCATAAAAATTCGCGACAAACATTATTTTGACATTTGCATATTGTGAGATGGGTTCTCTCCTCCCCCTTCATAAATCGATTTATGATGTTGTTTGTCTGCTGACTTTCCAACCGCAAAAATATCTATGCAACAGGTAGAAAATCAGCTAAGATAGTTGATCATAAGAATTGACAGACAGAGACAGAGAGCGTGGGAGAGGGAAGATAATTTAAGAAGACGTTTGCTGTTCTTTCTTATTTCTGATGCACAATTGCGTAAATCCTTGAGCAGGATATACCAAAAAGTATGCCTTTGTCAGCGCGAGGACAATGCCTCACATTCTCTCTGGCTTTTCTTTGGGCAGCTTAAAGATAAGTCAGTAAACTAAAAGCAAGGATAAAGAAAAACAAATCGTGTGCTAGGAATTTTGTAGTTCTAATTTACCAGCATCAGAAATTTCTCTTGTGACAATGATCAAAATTATGGAACTCTTTTCAAATAAAATAAATTGCAGAATATCTCAGACTTTAATATTTTATTTATTTTAAAATAATAATTCTTGTTATTTTTGAACTAATAATTCTCTAGTTTCAAAAAGCAGAAGAAACTCTTTGTTGAAAAAAAATTACTCCTTAAATATAAAAAAAAAAAAAACTACCCGAGACTTCTTAAAGCTTTTTTCTTACATAAAGCGAAACTTTATCGGTCCCATTTAAGAACTTCTCTAGCTTTATATTTCCATTAATAATCAATCAAATTTCATGTGCATGTTATTTCCCCTAAGCCAGTGGAAATTTCTCACAGCTCGAGGTGAAAGAAAAATTCCCTTTTGCACTCACTAGAAATCCCATTGAGATTATACAACATTTAAGTAGTTGAATATTGTTGCCGCAATGTTTGGCTAACTTGTTGCATGCGGTTGTTGCACAAACATTCAACACGCGGCAACTTTTTCCACGGAATTTCTCGATTGCCCAACGCAAGAAATGTTGTTTCCCACTAAAAGCCTAAACGGCTGCTGCTGCTGTTGCAACATAAATATTTATTTAGATATGTTGATCCAGTCAGATTTCACGATACAGTGTGAAAACCGGGAAAATGCACAAGCAAGGACATTCGCTGTGCTTAAGGATATTGTGTGAAGCGTGTGCGCATTTATATTGATGCCAAATGTGAAGGCCACGCGACTTGTCAATGTCACAAGGCTTGGAAATGCTCTAGAATTGGAAAAGTGGACTGAATATATGTATAGACTCCAGTCTCTCAAAGGATTAAGTGCAGTCAGCGGCGACGTGTCCTGGCAGCCGAGTCACATTCTAATTACTCAGTTGTTCACTTACTCAGGTAGTGTAGACATAGACGCATAATGTCATCAGTTTGTCGCAGACATAGAAATCAATATTCACGGCGACAGGCCGCGGGCGTGCCTCTATTGCAATCAATGTCAGACTGTCTGAATTTGGGGATCAATATGTCCTTAAACTGCAAACGATTATTAACTGACCGCGACAGAGAAATTAATGAGACTGAAATCTGAGATCAACTAGACTGGAGGAGGGGTATATATATGTGGGTCTATCCTATGATATACTTCGAGATAGAGAACATTGCTCAAAAGAATGATGAATGATCACAGATGATATTATAGAAATATACTTAAATCAGCTCTGACATTTAACAATTAATGTGAGTACTATTTACAAATCAAAGCATTCAAATATATTGCAAATATTCGTTGTTCTTCAATATAGAAAACCTTGCTTAAGATGAATAATATCCTACAATCAAAATAAGTACTATTAAATAAACAAGACATACCAGTATAATGCAAATTATCTTTGTTCTCTTTGTATTCAAGTTGTGATTTTATCAAAAGAGTAGCTCCGCAATTGTCCATATTTGATATATATGATATCATGCTTAGCATTGTTCTCCTCCTGTGTTAGTCAGAGTTTAACTTAGTCACACTGTAAAGTATCGAAATAATTTTATCTAACAATACAGAAAACAATAGATCCAAAAGAACAGACCTGATCAATGCTCGTACAAAGTCAAGTGCTTTTTGTAAGTCTTAGCTCACGTACGGAACACACAGACGCTGACGCCACAAGAGCTTAAAGCTCGCAAGCGCAGTTGACACAGTAGCCAAGCGTAGCAGAGCTTTTTCCAAACAAAAGCACACTAATACATGCACACTTGTCAATACATGCACATGGTCTGGCCACTGCTATAGAGCCTGCAGACTGCTGTAAATTCGATTGAAAAGTGACAAATGCAACATGACTATTTTCTTTTTTATATATAAATGAATTTTCTTCACTTCGTAAAATCCTTCTTACTACATCAATATTTTAAATCTTCCAAAGCACTTGTTGAACAGCTAATTACAGACTCTTGAAAGACAAAAACTACGCTTAGCTCGCATTTAATTCACATTCAGACGTGTCAATTGCAATTTGAACTAGAGCTAATCAAATTTTGTGCCAAGATTAAAGATACTTAGATATACCCTAGAGCAGCTCTAGAAGAGGCGCTCAAACTTCGACACGCGCACACCCAAATCGTAGCAAAAGGGAGGTGCGCAAATTGAAGTGCATTCAGTCAGCCCTCCGAAGACGCCCCAACTGCCCAGAGACGCAGGCTGTGACTAATTTTTTGGTTATACACATATTTGATATGCACCCAAACCGCATGAGGTGGCCAGACTAAGCCAGACTCTGCGCAGGTTTGGCAATTTTTCGGCTCGAGGCGTTGACTGGCCGAGCAGCCAAAAACGCCCTTCGGTCCACCGAGGGCAACACCCAATTTTGTTCATTCGGTTTGGTTTTTTCTCTTGCTGAATTTCTGGAGTAAAAACTTAGAACCCTTTAACGCTAGGTTTCTAAATCCCCTGTAAATATTTTCGGTTCGCCATTTGACCTGACTGTCTGCCCAGCCCGGCCTGATCGGATCGGAGCTATCCTGCGGTTCCTACCTGCTGCCTATAAAAGTAGTCGTAGGCACCTTTCTGTTGTCAGTCTACTTCAAGTATTTGACGTGTTCAACACGTGCTGTGGAGAATATTAGCAAAAATGTTTGACAATTTTGTGTTTACCAACGAAAAGTTATCCGCCGAGACCATGGACTTCGATTTGATCAGCTGGACATTGCCCAGCGCGGCGAGTGCAAATAGTTATATGGATAATATTTCAGCTGCCACAAGCTACGAACTGCAGCAGGTAATAAAAGTCTTCAAATTATAGCTAGGGAATAGATTTTTGAATTACAGAAAGATCTTGTGGTTTTATACAAATCATAGTCTATGTAATTCTCGAGTGTTTCTGTGATTTTTCAATCAATCTTTATAAGTATTCGCTAGAGCAGCACAGATATATGTGCTTCAGTTGTAAATACATCTGGTTAAAGCGAGATAGCCATATGTGCTCTCTTTTACGCATTCATTCGCTTGAAATGTGAAGGTTATTCAAATATCTAAATCGAGGTTCGCTTTATTGAATTCTTTTTGAAGCCCGTGTTTAGTTTTTCACGTAAGATCTTTTATGGATCTTTCAGTTTGTCTTATACCCTGAACCCATTCAAAACTCCCATTTTTTTTTTTAAGATTTTGTTTATGATTTTTCTTGTATTCCTCGACATTTGAATATGTCAAACATATTTGAGCTTAAGTCTAGATTCCTTTATTCCTTTAATTTAATCTCAGGAAGATTCAAAAGCAAGAGAAAGGCATTCCTCCATCTATATCATCTTATGCATCATTTATTAAAGTTAATTAAATTAAAGTAGTTGCATTGGAATCTAGTTATTTTTTTATAGTGTCCATCAGCATAGAGTAGGAATACCCCTATAATGAAAAGTTAAATGCAGGAAAAAACATTAAAAATCACCTGCCGGAACATCATTTTTTGCGTGCATTGAATATGAATGGCAAAATATTTTAATTTGAATAATTTATCAATCTCTGTGTACTTGAAAATAATGAAAATAAACCTCATTTGTTGTGAATGTCTTTGAAATTAAATTACATTTTTTATATCGGGCATACCTCATTTGATATGAATTTCTTTAAAAAGAATGGTAAATATTTAAAATATTCCCAATATAAAATATATAATATATATGTATATAAAATATTAAACAATTTCTTTGATCTAATAAATAATATATTATGTTTAAGCGGCCAACTTTTTGACTTGCTTAATAAATATCAGAGGAATACCCCATGTCTGCTATTTATATAACTAGTAGCAATTCCCAGCAATATGTTCATTAAACTTAAATTATAAAATGCTTAAAAAATAGTTACTCTTGCAATACCCATTTCCCTGGCTTACGCTATTTGTCGCTGGTCATAAACCACGTTTCCTCGCTTTTATGGCCAAATGGGAATTTTCCCATCGTAAAACCATTCGCACGAACAATAAACCAAGTGCGAACTGCCAGGAATAGCACTTGAAATGCGAGTGCACATAATGCAGCCAGGTAGCCAAATCCCTGGCAAGATCTCTAAACGTGTTGTTGCTGCTCATCTTTTGCAGATGGACATGCTGAGCTGTCAGGAGAGCAAGGCGAAGAGCACGCTGGAGGAGACAATTGCGCTGCTGCAGCAGACGCAGCACAGCTGCGAGGAGCTGCGCCAGCAGCTGCACGAGAAGGACGTGGAGTGGGCACAGCGCCAGCAGGAGCGGGAGCATCTGCAGCGCAGCGAACTCCAACAAGGTAAGTGTCCAATATACACCCAAAAGGAAGCCAAATCCCAACTAAGTCTTCGCTCTCGCATCCCTTGCAGCACAAGAAAAAGTGCAGGAGGTGCAGCTAATTGCCAAGGAGCGTTTCCGCGAGCTTGAGTCCCAGCTGCAGGCCAAGGACGAGGAGAAGAAGGAGGCGCTGCAGGCGTACCATCAGGAAATAGCCCATCAGCTGCGCCACAAGCAGCAGCAGCTCAGCATTGCCGAGCAGCAGGTGCTCCAGCTGCAGACACGCCTGCAGGAGCACGAGGCGCAGGAGCAGCAGCTGCGCGAGAAGCTCACACGCAAGGAGAACACGCACGCCATTCGCCTCGCGGCAAGCACACAGCGCGAGGAGGAGCTGCAGGAGCGCATCAAGTCGCTGACCAAGGAGCTGCAAACGCTGCGCGCCAGCACCGAGCACAATGAGCGCGATTTGCGCGATCGCCTCGCCCTGTCCCAGGACGAGATCAGCGTGCTGCGCAGCTCCTCGCAGCGACGCAGCCCGCCCAACAGCCAGGCGGACAGCAGCGCCGAACTGTGCCGGCTGACCAGCGAGGCGGACAGCCTGCGCTGTGTCCTGGAGCTGAAGCAGGCCGAGATTTCGGCCCTGTCCAAGCAGAACGCCGAACTGCAGCGGGAGAACGACGAGCAGCGCGGTCTGGCCAGTCGCCTGACCATGCTGGAGGCACAGAACGAGATGATGCGCACCGAACTGGAGGCCAAAACCGACAAGGAGAAGTAAGTGCCAATCTCTAAGCCCTAAGCCCTCTCAAGCTTTTGAAAAATTCCATAAAAAAAAAATAACCAAAAATTGTCTGTTTCGGCTCAAAGTTCAGCTTCGGTTTTTTCTATCCCTCAGCCCAGGTTTTGGCTGGAATTTTTTATTTTCAATAAATAATAAATAAAAAAACAAAATTTATTATATTCACATATTTTCAATTAAAATCTAAAAGGAGGATTTGAACCGGCGCTCTTTACATTATATTATTATTTTTTTATTTTAAAATTTTATTTTATTTAATTTTTATTTTGACACTGTTTCTGTTCATAGTAAAGAGAAAACTAGTTTTGGGTTTGAACCGCCGACCTTTACTAACTCTTCCTCTTCCATTGCAGAGATATTCAGCGTCAAATGGAGGAGATGCAGAAGGCCTTCAACCATGAGAGCATCAAGCGCAAGCGCCTCACCTGCGACAAGGAGGAGCTGCAGTATCATCTGAAGCAACGCTCCGAGCAGCTGCAGCTGGTGCAGGCGCAGCTGCACGAGCTGTCCAATAGCTCGCAGGACAGCTCCCTGAATCATGGATACAGTCGCTGCAATTCGGCGCGCTCCTGCCTGGAATCGTCGGCACATAATGCATCGAGCACATCGCCACCAGCATCGCCGGTCATTAAGGGCGTCATCGAGCGCAACGATTCGGTTAGCTGGGTGCTCGAGATGGACGATGAGACGCCGCAGGTGGCCGCCTCGAAGCTAGTGCGACGCGCCGGCTCGCTGCGCAGCACCAGCGAACGCAGCCCCACCCAGCGCCGCCAGCTCTCCCAGAGCGCCAATGCGGCCACCAGCAATGGGCACGCGAGCAGCCAACATGGACCCAATCCCCTTTCGCAGAGCATGTCGGCCACGGCGCTGATGCGTAGCCATGGCAGCCAGGAGGTGGAATCGCCGCGTCCCCTCTGCCGGGCTCGCTCCCAATCCGTTTGTACCAAAGCCTCGGCCCAGCGCCAGCAGCAGCAGCAGCTGCAACGCCAGCGACAGAGCAGCGATGCACTGACTCTGCCCGATTGGCATGTGGACGAGCTGTGCTCCAGCTCGCCACAGCCGGTGCAAAGCCACGCCGAGATGCGGGCGCGCAGCAGCACCATGAAGCTGATGGCCTGCGTGGATGCCTACCCGAAGGCGCTGAAGAAGTTCCAGGAGATACAAGAGTCCGCCGGCGAGGCCATGGTTTCCGGCGCCAATTCCGAGGATGAGAGCTGCTCGGCCTCGTCGGAGGATATGCGCAGCTCATCCGCATCCAGCACAGCGTCCGCGGCAGGCTGTACGCTCTCCAAGCGGCTAAAGCAGCCGCCGTCGCGCATGTCCATCGAGGAGGCGTTAATGCTCGAACAGGTCAACAGCCTGAATGGCACGCCCATGGAGGTCAGCTGGTCGGAGGATGCGGCCGATGCGGATGTTGCCGCCGCGGGGCACCCACTGGCATGACAGGCACCCGTCGCGGATGATGTGGGCTACGAGGAACGGGCCGTCATCGAGCAAATAGCCGAGGCAGCCGAAGAGGCTTATGAAATGGACGCCGATGCGCAGCAGGAGGATCTAATTGTGGGCGGCGACGACGAGGACGACGACGAGGAGGACGATTACGATGATGATAGCTTTTAAAGCAGGCGCGCATAGATTGTAGAACAATTCGATGGGCAACAAAACTAAAGAAAGTTTAAAAATGAAATGAACAGAAAAACAAAACAAAAAACGTTAGAAATAAGCCTAAACAAATTTGGATTAATTTGCTGTAAATAAGTTCATAAAGAAGCGCTTCAGGGGATGAGCTTTTGGCGAGGGCAACATACATACATACATACATACAGGTATACATACATATATATATATATATATTTATCTGGCTTTTCATTTGCGGCTATGATTAGGAAATGAGAAACATATTACACATAGCTACATGAACACAGCAAGCGAATCCGTCACAGTCTTCAGAGAACTCCATATGGATTGATAAAATACAGAAGAAAAAAAAACCAAGCCAATCAAGAAAAAAAAAACATGTGTTATATGTAGCACAGTTAACGTTTCGTAAAAATCAAAAGTTTGAAGCAAAGTAATAATAACAGTATAACAGTAGTATAAAAGTATAACAGTAGAGCAACTTCTCGAACTACTTCAATGAGAATTAAAATAAAATATATATATTTAAAACGAAAATTGTTTCAAATACGGTCAAATACGCTATCCCGAGTGCACATATTGAGTACGTACCGTATCTAATGAGAGGGTTAGGCATTTAGCTCAAGCAGTATATGAATATATTTGCATTCAACTTATTAACTATACAATACACATTTATATCTAAACATATGCATATTATAATGGTATTCTAACCTATCAAAAAGAAAGTGGAATAACTTTGAGATATCGTATATATATATATGAAAATAATGTTAATGTGCCCCCCGCAATCGGAAATCCAAATATAAGTCTAGCCCACATATTACCCATTGAGCTCAAACGGAAAAGTTAAGTAAAAAATAAAAAAAACTCACTTGATGTCCTTAATTTAAAAACCTAAAGCCCGCTATAGAAGGGGCTTAAGTACCCCGATTTAAAATCTAAAATTGTAAAATGTTACGAAGTTCCCCGTTGTAAAACTTCGAACCTTAAGCTTTAATTAATTTTGTGCGTGTATTTTTTTGTGAAATTTATTGAGCATTATTTATTATTTAGTTTTTAGTATTCAGATTTAAAGAGCAACATCTATGTTAATTGATTAACTAGCCTATACATATAAATATTACATTTAGTTTTTAGTACTTAGCATTTAGTTAACTTTACAGCTTTTAATTTGTTATCATTGATTGTATCTGTATCCGTAACTGTATCTAAATCTTTCAAGTCTTATATGTGTAAGCTAAAAGGAAACGCTAAAGTTTATAACACGCAGCATTGTCATTAATTTTTAAGTACTATTCAGATACTCTATATCATTTTTATGTGTGAGCCCAGCAGCAGCATCAACAACAACAACAACAACAACAACAACAACTGAACAGAAATTGTGTCTATATCTATAAGAAAAGAATGAATTAAAGATCAGATTGTATAACAGTATAACACAAATTGCAATCCAAGCAAACCTACAGCATATTTTTTGCTAAATAATTTCAAAAACCTAAAATAAAATAGTAATTGTTTCAAAGTTTTACATTTGTTTGCTTTATTTCAAGTTTACTGTTATTATGGGAACAACTTAAATTAAATTTATATGAATATTTACAATACAACTTATTCAACTGTTAAGTCTAACATAAAAATTTACAAGGGTAGGGTGTTTATATGAACCGATCTGAAATATCGATTGGGTCAAACCTCCGCAATCTCCTTCGCATGCGCACTCCTCTAATTCTACGTCTCCTTAGAAGTCGCCTAGCCAGAATTTTGAATAAAAAGAACAGAAGATTGCATTTTTTTTTTATATTTTTATTTATTTATTTCTTTAGAAGCATCACACACAGTTGTTGTTTATTTTATGTTCATGTACATATTTATTGATTTCTCCTAAAACTATACATATACAAGTCCAATTTAGAATGATTATTAATTGTGTATTTTTACGGATTTATTTTATGCCTAAACCTAAAATGACTTCGGGTCTAAGTCAGTAATTGAAGTCCAATCCTGGAAACATAGGCCTTTAAGGACTCGAGGAAGTCTGCAGAATCAGTTGGGATTTTGAACTCTTTAATCTAAAATAATGAAAATGAATTAAAATAAAACAAATAAGAAAAACCAAATAACATTGATCTCACAAAACGTAAAATATCCATACGAATTCAGATCAGGACAAGACGGGGGCAATCGATTGCAATCAAAATTTTGAGATTTCAGAATCGACCCCATTTCTGAATAACTCTGCCAAAATAAGCCAGGACCCATATTTTATATTTAGCTTATTTTGAGGTTGCATATTTATATATATTGTGTATAATGGAAATATAGAATAAAGATATGTCCTACTTAAGAAAATAGCTATATCTATGCCATACGCTTGCAAACTCGCATCTCACTCAAGTGCGGTGCTTGGTTGCAAATTAATATTTAAAATTTAACGGCCGCCAAATTCCATTCGACATGTCGGCTGTGTCACAAAATTTCAACAAAACTCAGCTGAATTACCAGGCGAACAAGAATGTCAGTAAGTAGCCAAAAGTCGGAGACACCAGAATTAAAACAGATTGTGCGCCGGCGCGCCATTGGTCATATATATGTCTGTATGTATAGTTCCGAAAATTCATGATGGCTGCTCAGCGTAATAACTGTAACTATCCTTTTGTTTTGGTTCCTATGCACATTCGTCAATACATATCGAACCCATGCATTGTTGTTGTCGCAAAACTGTATAGAAGAAGCATTGCCTAATAGTGGCTTAATAATACAGTATCCGCTAAAATTAGCCATTTATTCTGTTGGATGTCTACAAATTGGGTAAATTGAGTCCGATCTTGGGCAGATGATTTTTTTTGGACTCCTTAAAGTATTTTATTTGATGAAATACATATTACCGGCCGGTATATTGCAGCCGTTAATTTTTAAACCTTAATCTAACGAAATGTGGATCATCTAGGATCCATAGAAGGAGTATGGCCTGCTGTTGGAGCGGCTGCAAAACACCGCTTACATTCATGTTTTCAACACATTTCCGAGCACATTTCTAGGTTCACCAAGACTCTGTCAATGGTATGGTAATACCAAGGATATTTGGGTCATCTAAGAACCATATAGGAAGGCATGGTGGCTAGAAGAAAACGCACACATACTTGTGGACCATTTCCGAGCGAATTTCTCAGTGATTTGACCTTTTTTAATGCAAGTTTATTCTGGATCTTCACGAGTTCAACGCGCCCAATCTGCCCTTTTTTTGGCCGAGATATTCCAAAAGATCATCAAGCAAGTTTGACATCATGACCAAACCGTTTTTTATCCACAATTTTTATGTTACCCCTTGATTGTTATTTTTATTAAATGCCAATCGATAGAACTGATACCTACGAGCCCAAAATATTCAAAAAAAAAAAATCATCAAAAAAGTTTTGATTTTCGAAATTTAATTTTTTAAAATGTTTGAATGCAGATTG